AAGGGGGAATACACGTTTCGCAATTATGCCACATCAAGGTGGAACGCTCTTCCCACAACTGTAAAGGAAAGTAAAACTATACTTACCTTCAAAACCTCTCTTAAAGAGCACCTTCGGGGGAGAGCATTGCAAAACTGGCCCCGGTAATGGTACAAATCTCAACCTGTCGTTCAATGGACAGCTTCCCCCCCCCCATCTATGTATATACTCACATTTTAGACTCTGTTACTAACTGTATATCTGTAGACTTGGTATGTCTTAAATGTCCGGTTAGGATGTATTAGAACGAAATCTAAAATGAAAATTGTAAATAAGCAATCTGTATGTAAAAAAACCACCTGTATGTAAATTGTAAATAAGCCATCTGTATGTCTTATATGTCTTATATGTCTTAAATGACATGATGAATTGGAAATGGGGGACCCTGATGTAAACAAGACGAAAGTCTTTCTCTGGTCTGCATCCCCTTAACAATTGTATGTTTTGAGCTGTACTGTACTGTACCCAATATACAAGCTGTTAATAAACTTTTCAATCAATCAATCAATCAATCAATCAATCGATCCGATTCCGATAGGATTTACATGGAGATACGCCCCGCCCCCTCTCCAGCGCGCCTTGTTTGAATGACAGGAGTAAACACAGAATTAATGCTTTATTAATTCATGGTTTTTAAGGGGCTTATCTCCACGTAAATACTATGGTAGACCACCCAATATTCGCATCGCTCTAATCGCTCGAGTTTCACCGCGGCTGTCAGCTGTGTTTGCTCCTGTCATTCAAACAAGAGGCGCTAGAGAGGGGTGTGGCTTATCTCCATGTAAATGATATGGGAGATACCAACTACAACTAAATGAACATATTTGACCGTGATTTAATTGTAATACATGTTTCAAAATGATGCCGAAGTAACTACATACTGATAACGGTTAGTAACAACCATGAATTAACGCTTTGACAAGTCTGCAGATAAGACGGCAGGCGAAAAGCTTTTAAAATGCGTGTTTTCTGAATGGAATCGGATCCATCAGGCTAAACTAACCTGTTGCTGCTCCGTCCAAACTCACAACAACGTCAGACAGACATAAATAAAGCAGCGACTGTATTCGCCATGACATAGACAGTCTGTGGTTTGTACATGTTTAACTTTTGTCCAGTTTCTGAACAGATATGAGGAGCTGTGAGCTATGAGGGTGTGCTAACAGCTGATGTGTTGGGACATATTTCGCTGTCGGGTGTTGACCAATCACGAAGCGTCATTTCTTGACTGGCTCTGTCCAATCACAAACAAGAAGTGTTCTCCCTAAAGGAATACCCTTTCCGTCCAATGTGAAATGCTGTGGTGTTTTCTGAAATGCTGTTGTGTTTTCTGAAATGCTGTGGCGTTTAGTGAAATGCTGTGGCGTTTTCTGAAATGCTGGGGAGTTTTCTGAAATACTGCGGCGTTTTCTGAAATGCTGTAGTGTTTTGTGAAATGCTGTAGCGTTTTGTGAAATGCTGTGGTGTCTTGCACTTCAGGGCCACCGTAGAATTATCATATATGACATGAGCTATCGTCCTTCTGTTTGTATCCAACAGTTCAAATGTTCGAATTGTCCTCCTTTTTTCTTTAACAGTGAAGAAAATTCGATATGTTAATGATATTTTGACTCAAAATGTCCCCGGTTTTAACTTTGAAAATCTGGTCACCTTATGCTACACACACAATAAAAACTTCAATAAATATATTGATCCTGGCTTAACCAGCGACCTTAACTCTTTTGTCATCAGGGATTTCAAGATGGCGCCTGTCTCGGCTCTCTGCCTTTAGCTATTCTGCTTTTGTTCTATGTTTGTCAAAATGTCTCTGCTCTGCTCGTCTATGATCGCCAAGCTCTCCTCCACCTCAGATCCTCACTGGAGCAGTGGCGGTTTTACAGGGTGGCACGGGGTGGCAGCTGCCACCTCAGAAAAATGCCTTGCCACCCCAGTTGGCAGCTTTGTTTTGAAAAAAAAGTTGTGGCTCATCGGACATTTATGAGAGAAAACTCTAATGTCCGAGTGCAAGTGAATGCAGCACAAGACACGCCTTGTAACCCCTCCCCCGGCCCTGGAACGAGCGTGGAAATATGATTGGCAGCGATTTCATTTGAACGGGGGACAGCACAAAACGAGAAGCATTTCGGATCCAAGTAGACGGAAGGAATTAGGTAGGCTATTTGCGGTCAGTGGCGGCGCCAGCAGGGTGCGAACTGGAGGGGAGCAGGGGGAGCTATAGCTCCCCTAGTGGTGACATGACCTCCCCTGGGAACATGGTTTGTGACATTTGGGGGGAGCTCTCTAAAATACTGATATGATGACCAAATAAATTCCATTTTGGGCATGTTTTTTTTTTCAAAGGTGTAAAATAAGTGAAATAAAATTATATTTAGAGTTTATGATTCATGAAAAAAGTGTCGTCTGCTTGCACGCTGCCCGCAGCTCCACCCACTACCCACTCACTCACAAGCTCGTTAAGTTAGCACTGCATGTTTACCAGGCATTGTTGCTGCTGCTGACATGTCGAAAATAATTTTTTTTTTACCTTGGGCAATTTCTTTAAAAAGACGGCCAAACAACCTGATCAAGAAGACCAACCAAATGTAGCTGGTGTTAGCACATCGTACGTTGTGACTGCTGCTACAACAGAACCGAGAGAGGAGGGAGCTAACGTCAGTGCTAGTGCTAACTTGACAGCTAACGTTAACTTGGGGGCTGAAGAGACACAAGAAGACGAGCCGTTGTGTTGTGTGTGTGGCGTCGCGTCTCTCCAGGCAGTGAGAGGGTTGTGTTGTGCTATAGCTGTATTATTAATATTGTTCATGGTTGGTGCCGCTGGCTGCTCTTATCGCGTGTGTTCGGCTCTGTGTGGGCTACAGCCATAATAGGCTATAGCCCATGTGAAACTATTTAGCCTGTTTTTGAGTCATTTTAAGTTGATTTAATTAAACAGTCAAACGTTACATTGGTGGTCCGTGGATTATTTATTATCAAGTTGATTGAAGTTTGCGTAGCCCATACATGCTCGGGAAACATGAACATGATCCATCGGGACGTTTCATGTAAATGTAGACCTGTGGCACCACCCCGTGTGCAACAGATTTTCTCTTTATAATAGGCCTATGTCTGTGCTGTTGCTATTAATGCGCGGATCAGCATTTACCCACCCCCCCCCCCGGATGATGGGGCTTTGTGGGCAAAAGGCCGCAATGTAGCACATGTTGGAAAGAAAATACAAGCTGCAATAGTTGAAGTGGAGAAATGGACAAGTAAATGGGGATTCAAACTGTCAGTAGCTAAGACGCAGGTCATTTGTTTTACAAAACGGCTCCTATATCATTAAAATGTTATGAGCAACCTCTTGAACAGGTTAATACAATAAGATTTCTTGGTGTTTGGTTTGACGGAAAGCTAACATGGAGCAATCATATAGGAAAAGTTCAAAATAAATGTAAAAAGGTCAACAATGTACTTCGGTGTTTGGCGGGACAGGAGTGGGGAGCGAGTAGGTCATCACTTCTGAATATATATCGGGCACTCATGAGACCTGTATTTGATTATGGGTGTATAGCGTTCATGGCAGCAGCAGAATCAAACCTTAAAAAGCTGGATGTCCTACAAGCTCAGGCCCTGAGAATATGTAGTGGAGCTTTTAAAATATCTCCAGTATCAGCAATACAGGTGGAAATGGGAGAAATGCCTTTAAGGATAAGATGAGTGAAGTTAATGTTGGCATACTGGGTAAACCTTCAGGGGCATAGTGATAGTCATCCTGCGAAAAGTATTTTTGAAAGACTGCTGGGAGCACAATGAGTCACATTTAACAAGTTTTGGATGGATTGGTGATGTTAAAGCAGCAAGTATAGGTTTGAATCAAATACAGTATTGCCCCACAGTTCCAATCTCGTCCATTCCACCCTGGTTGTTCCCATTGCCAAGTGTAGACCTCAATATACGAGAGGAGTTAAAGGAAAAGAAAGAACTACCAGTATGGCGCATAGTCCAGAATTATTTTGCAAGATATCACTCAGACTCAACAATCATATTTACAGATGGTTCCAAAGATCCAGAGACAGGGCGTGCAGGAGCAGCAGTGTATATCCCAGTGAGTAATACACATATAAAGAAAAGGGTAACAGACCATGTGTCAGTATACACCACAGAGTTGTTGGCATTGAAATGGATAGAGGAGAAATAAATACATAACAGTGTAATTGCATCTGATAGCTTTTCAGCATTATCGAGTATACGATCAGGCAGATCTTCATTTAGAATGGACATAATAAATGAAATATTTCTAATTTTATATAAAATGCAAATCAAAGGCATAGCAACTCGTTTCATCTGGGTTCCTGCTCATGTTGGTGTGGAGGGTAATGAACAGGTGGATATTCTGGCCAAACAAACACTCAGAAGTATGAACATAGACATAGAAGTTCCACTCAGCAAAGCGGAGGTTCAAACATTCATACAGAAATATGCACAAACAACATGGCAAGATCATTGGGATCTTAGTGATACAGGAAGACATCTTTATAAAATGCAAAGATATGTGGGGGATGGAAGGAAGGTGGGGTTTAAAAGAAGGGAGGAAAATGTCATTTCTCGGATGAGAATAGGTCATACAGGTCTCAATCATACATTAAGTATAATAGGAAAGCATCCAACCGGAAAGTGTATACACTGAAGCCAGAAACTGTTGAGCATGTTTTACTGCTTTGCAGGAAATATAGTACTCAGAGAAATGTGCTTTTCCAGACACTCAAGAAAGCAACATTCCATGACTTTTCGCTATCAGGGCTGTTAGGGAAAACATCAGGCAATATGTAAAGTGAGATTATTACGTTTCTAAGTGAAATGGATACATTTAAACATAATCTAGAGTTTTGGTTCTTTTTTCTTTTCTTTTCTTTTTCTTTCTTTTGTTTATTGTTTTCTGCATAGTCTCTTGTCCACACTCCAGTCCAGTTGGTGGCGGTAATGCACCTACAAGCTGGTTTGCCAACCGCCAATAAACACTAAAGAAGAAGAAGAAGGAAACGGAAGCAGAAGAAGAAGAAGAAGAAAGCGACGAAGACGAAGAAGTATTTGTTCGGTGGATGTTTGGCTGTCTGTTAGCTCACATTCCTCCCCTGAAGCACAGGTATTAACCCGGTTTATCCCGGTCTTTTGCCACAGCTTGTTTCTAATGTTCCGTTCTCTGAAGACATTAATGTGTTCATGAGCTTTGTGTGTTTACAGTTGGCAGCTAATGTTAGCATCAATGCTCCAACACCGTTACAGTCAGAGGTGGAGAAGTACTAGGATGTTGTACTGAGAGTAAAAGTAGAAGTACCAGAGTGTAGGAATACTCTGTTACAAGTATCAAAATGCGACTCAAGTGAAAGTAGAAAAGTATTATCATCAAAATATAGTGAAAGTAGCTAAGACAGTAAAAGTAGTCATTGTGCAGATTGGTCCATTTCAGAATAATATATATGATATGTTTTATAATGATTGATCATGAAAGTGTTCTCAAAGCTGGTAAAGGTGCAGCTAGTTTGAATGACTTTGTATTCTGCAGGGTAGCTGGTGGATTTACTCCAGGTGGAACTAAAGTCTGATTCAACGCTTGATTATATTTCACATCATTAATCCACATCTGTGAAGTAACTAAAGGTATTAAATACATGTAGTGGAGGAGAAGTACACCATGTACCTCTGAACTGTAGTGGAGTAGAAGTACAAAGTAACATAACATGGAAATACTCACAAGTATCTCAAAATATTTAAAAGGTGGGGTAGGTAAGTTTGAGAAACCGGCTCGAGATACACCTTTTGTTATATTCCATGGAATGCTCTTAACATCCCGATAGCAATGAATATCTCAAGTGCTTTGACAACAAATCCATTAAAAAAATCATCACCTCTGGAAGCCGTGGCGCTGTAAAAAGCACGACCAATCATCTGAGCCGGCCCGGCTAAAGTAACTGGATGGCCTACCTGCCTGTCAGCCTTCCATCTGGGCACAAACTTATCTTGTGCCCTCATTGGTCATGTGTGTGTTCCTGTGTGTTGGAGGAGGGGCTCTGTAAGGAAGTGGCAGATTTTCTCCGGCTGTGTATTTTCAAGTTCTAGTGCACTGGAGCTGGTTTCTCCAAAATGACCCACCCCACCTTTAAGTCCAGTACTTGAGTAAATGTATTTAGTTACTTTACTACCTTTGAAACACTTTCAGAGAAGCTAACTGAAGCACAATGACCCGCCATGGAAAGAACTGCACGGCTGGAGCTGTGTATACTTACCACGAGAAGAAGAAGGACACAGGTGAGGACCCGGGTCAGGTTACACAGAAAACACTCTGACTGCCACCCGCTGCACACATACAGAGACTTCACTCAAATGCAGCAAAGGTGAAATGGATCATTCTCAAATATAGGTTGAGTCAGACACTGGTAGTATTCCCTTCCCTTTTAAAGAAAGCCCTCACAGAGTTCTCCTCATGTTCGATACCTGCTGCTGACTGTCAGTAATGAGGGCTTCAAGCGGTCCAAGGAATACAACTTCAACTTTTTCAGCTAAGTAGACTGAAACTGCACCAAGGATGTTTGGGAGTTTACCGACATGATCATAACAACTGCTGAGAAGTGTTGTCATACCTGCTTGAAGAGAAACAAGTCTGAATGAGGAATTGTATTGCTCGATATGTCGGTGTGATCCAAATAACCAGGACCAGAATGTTTATCATTCAGTTTTTCTGTACAGAAAAACAATCAGCATATCAGTAGTCCTGACAACGTCCTTTTCAAACAAACAAGAGTCGGAAATCATTTTGTGTGGTCGCTACATTTAAACACATTCACTCATTTATGTCACTGCAGACGAGACTCATTGTAGGTATTTTGCAGGAAGAAGATCATATTGATGTATTTATTTAAGTGTGTGTGTCCGTGTGTCCGTGTGTGTGTCCTGCTCAGCGGCGTCTGGTTACGGAACTCAGAGCATCCGGCTGGGCAAAGATGCCATCAAAGACTTCGACTGCTGCTGCCTGTCCCTGCAGCCTTGCCAGGACCCCGTGATGACGTACGGTTCCTTCAGCACACACGCACACACTACCTTGACATGTGACACGTATACAAACAATGATTCCTGGTTTCTCTTGCTGTCCTCAGCCCAGATGGTTTCTTGTATGAGAAACAGGCCATTCTTGAATACATTTTGCACCACAAGACAGAAACTGCCAAAAAGATGAAGGTAAGCCCTGCCTGTCCGTCTCCAAGCTTCTCCACACTACAAACATGACTGATTGTCCCTGGAGCAACAGAAGCTTCTTCTTATTACACTGTTACAGTATTTAGCTGACTCTTTTATCCAAAGCCACTCCAATACAATCAGTACTGTAGACATGCCAACGGTAGCATTTTCATTTGGCTCATCACAAGAACTGCATCACAGGCACCACTAGCAACAAGTGGGACGGAAATATATTTGATCCATTTCTGTTGTCGGTCAACACGGCCTGTATAGAATAGTTTCTACGACCTGATGACCAGCAGTCATTCCAAAGCTGTGTGAAATGGTCTCACGGAAAAGGAGCATATCTCTGGATTCATACAAAAAAGGAACTTGCTTTTCACAATTCAAAATGATTGATCACAGAAAAAGTCCTTAACGGTATGGCACACAGCCCTGACCATGACTCAGCTGAACACAAAGAGCACTGACCTTTATCAGGCATCTGTATGATGATGGGTATGTTCTTCAAGTTTAAGTCAAATGTGTGTGTTTATGATGCGCATAAACACATGTTAAATTACAAAAATGATTGTGCTTCTTTCTGTAAAATAAAGGAAGTTCTCTTTACTTGGATAAAATGCCACACTGTGTTTCCTCCTATTATTCTGCAGGCGTATGAGAAGCAGAAGCAGGCGCAGAAGAGCAGCAGCCAGCTGGAGTCCAAGTCCGAGGAGCGCGAGAGGGTGGAGCGGTTCAAAACCAAAGAGAACAGCATCGTGTCCAAACCCATCAACCCCTTCACCTCCGGTATGTCCCAACCTGCGTGTGCTGTCTACCTGCTGATCACCTGCTGCATGTGCTCTGTCCGTGTGAGCCCAGGCCCGGTTAAGCTAGCCGCTGCTTGGATTTTGATGCGTGTTATTCCCGCTGTCAAACTACTAACTGTCACAGGACACCTCATTTGCTAAAACATTGAACATTTCCTAGATTTTTGACTCATTGATTTAATGAACGTATTTCTTTATTAAAAAAACAATCCTGTCCACGATAACCTTAAATAGAGCCATGCCAAATTGAACAGTATCTTGCTTATACTTGCACAGTTTGTGTTCTCTCATGGTTCAGACTACTACCCCGTCAGAGTGAAAGTCATTTTACTGTCCCCCCCCCCCCCCCCCCCCCCCCCAAACTCAATTAGAAAATTCAGCAGTGGTTAAGTACAGAGAGAGAAGGACACATGGTTGCCTAACAAACCTTGTTGGTGCACAGCTTACATGCACCAGTTATTGACTGCACACAGGAAACACATTGTAGTGAATGTTGTTGTTGCACTTTCCCCAATGATTTGTTTTAAAAAGCAGAACAATTCTTTGCAGTGTAAAGACTGTAGAAGTGTTTCCCTCTCAGGGCAGAACCCGGGTGGAGAGAAGAGCCGGACCAACGCAGCAGAGTCCTCCAGCTCCGCCCCTGTTGCCTCCTCCAGCCAGAGCCTGCCCTGCTTCTGGGTACCCTCCCTGACCCCCCAGTCCAAGCCCACCCTGCTCAAGAAGCCTGTGAGTCTGCTCCGCTGCGCTCTGACAAACAGCTGTTGTTCACTATTTACTAAAGCACACTGAATTCATGGTAACAGTTACCGAGTGGTTTTGTGTCTCCTCAGAAGCTGTCTATAGCCAGCAATGTGAACTTGGAAATGTTCCCCAAAGTGTTATGTTAGAAACTGCTCTGTTCTCCGTCTGTTTGTTTAGAGTATCAGTTTAATGTTGACACTATTAAGAGGCAGGCTGACCCTGGATCCAAGGTAAATATTAGTTTAACTCTGTCCCCGGTGTCTTTCAGAGTAAGACTGTGTTGTGTCCCATGTCAGGACGACCTATTAAGATGAATGAGCTGATCACGGTGCGCTTCACGGCCCTGGACCCCAGCCTGGACCGAGTGGCCCTGCTCACCCGTCAGGTCAGTCCTCTCAGCGCCGTGACTCATCCCCTGCTCTTGGTCATCTGGATTAAATCAACAACAACCTCTTCTGTAAAATGTCAAAAAAAGTTGCAATTTTAAATCGGCGTCCAATGTTCCAATATGTCCTGAACACGTCACCACACCAAGTTTAGCTTAAACCAAGGCCACCTCAGCATTAACATCGCGCTGCCTGGCGGCGTCATGGACGTATAAAGACAACGTGCCCATGTTAACACCATGAAGGATTTGGTTGTTTATCAGTCAGTTTAAGTGAAAAACGTTCCAGCGGTCTGCAGCAAGAGGAATATGTTTGCAGCGCTACGTTAATGCGTGTGGGCGCGGTTAAATGTAAATATACAGTGGGTTGGAAAATGATAGAAGCAGGACACTTTGATGGAACGCAGCTCAGCTTGATGACATCATGGTCAAAAGTTGTCCATGTGACGGGGCGGATGTCTCCTCTTTCATGCTGTCTTGTCTCTACAGGACAGGTATGTGTGTGCAGTGACCAGAGACGTGCTTGGCAACAGTGTTCCCTGCACTGTCCTGCGGCCCTCGTGAGTGTCCACGTGTCTCTCTGTCATGTCCACATGTCATGTCCTCTGGTGTCGCTGACTCTCTGTCCTGTGTGCAGGGGGGCTGTGGTGACCCAGGAGTGTGTGGAGAAGCTGATCAAGAAGGATATGCTGGATCCTCTGAGCGGGGACAAACTGTCCGACAGGGACCTCATTCCCCTGCAGAGGGTATGTGTCTGTCTCTGATGTCTAACTGAAGCTGTCCTGTCTCTCCTGCTGGAGCTGATCTTGTTCTGTGTTCTGACAGGGGGGAACGGGCTTCGCAGCCTCCGGGGTGGACCTCCGGGCCAAAGAGGCCCGTCCAGTGATGATGGTGTGAGGGGACTTTACTGTTCTTATTTGAAATATCTGCAGGCTTATCTTTCCTGTTCCTGCAGGTAACATAGGTAGGCTTTTTTTCTATCATACAGTTAAAAACAATACATTTGATATCATCTAAATGACATTTCTTTCTTTTTTTAACCCCGACCATGTTTAAAAGACAGAATTATTCCGTGGATTCTAGATCATTAGCTTAGTCTGTCTTTCTTCACTTTTCAAACTGAAGCTCTGCAGAAACACTGTACGTCCATTTTGAGACATGAGTAGAATTGTATGGACAGATTATTTTTGATCATTGTTTCTCTTGCTGTAAAAATAAAATAAAGTCTGTTTCACAAAGGATTTTCAGCTGTTTATCATAAACCCTCCAAATGTAGTGATGCTGAGATAAGTGTGAGACATTCAGGAACTATTTGTTCCTTTGTTTAAACTGTTAGCTGTTGTATGTGATGGACATGTCACTGCCACTGTTTTCCATTAAATTGATTATTATTCATCGTTTGTTCTAATTTTCTTTCACTTCTATATGATTCTCCCCCTTTGACGACATTCAACACTATATTCTTAAATCATTTCCACAGAAATCTAAGCTGTAAAGGATCACATTAAGAGAGTTTCAAGTCATTTTAATTGAACCTTAAACATCAAATGAAACACTGGATCGTTTGTAGTGTCTGTGGAGTTTCAGCGGTAACATGAACTCCATATGGAGCGTCCTCGTTCTCTGAACAGGAGGCTGTTCCTCTGCAGCAGCTGAACCTGAGCTCTCTGCAGGGGCTGGCTTTTTGTAAAAGCTAGATATATGCAGAACACCATGAAAACGTGTATTCTGTTCTGTGCTGCTTTTTTCACAGTTCATCATGCTCATCCACCCTCATCCCTCCAAAGTCGGTGATGGTGCTGGTTATGATGTAGTCGCTGTTGTCCAGCAGCTCAGAGAGTGTCAGAAGGCCATCCTGACAGTGGAGCACAGGGAGGGAAGAGCATTAATACACGTGTTTTATTCTACATGTGATGGAGGGCTGAAAGTAGACAGGGGCCAATCCTATATGGCAGCCCCATGACTTTAAGCCCCTGGGGACCCCCATGCCCCCCCTGTAAAGCCTTCCTGAGACAAAACCGACTACTGGCTAATGGTGCAAAAATAAATTCTCTGTGTGTTCTTATTTCATAGCTGCTATAAATCATTTATTTCGTCAGTCAATGATTGTGTGAATGGCAGATCAATCATAGCCAAAGACAATATGTGCTAGTGTTGAGATAGTGATGCACTTATGGCGCGTTTCCACTGCAGGCCTCGCTCGGTTTGGTTAGGCCTTATTAGGCCCGGCTCACTTTAATGCTGCGCTTCCATTACAGTTTAGGAACTGGGGTAGTTACTATAGTAACGCAGTATAGGCGGAGCCGTGACGTCATCTTCAATGAGAGCCCCAGAAAAACAACACAGCCGTTAGTTCTTAGCACTCAGAGCTCACAGCTACTCATATCTGTTCAGAAACTAGACAGAAGTTAAACAAGTACAAACCACAGACTGCCTGTGTCATGGCGAATACAGTCGCTGCTTTATTTATGTCCGTAGGCCGTTGTTGTGAGTGTGGACGGTCGGAGCATATATAACGTAAGCTTAGCCAAGCTCCATTTAGAAAACACGCATTTGAAAAGGGTTTTTCGCCTGCCGTCTGTCTGCAGACTTGTCAAAGCATGAATTCATGGTTTTTACTAACCGGTATCATCAGTATGTTGTTACTTCGGCATCATTTTGAAACGTGTATTACAATTAAATCACGGTCAAATATGTTCATCTTGTTGTAGTTGTAGCCCCCTTGCCAGCGATTCTCTCTCTAGTTTAGCATACTCAGCCCGACTCAGCCTGGTTGTTCCTGGCCCTAGAACCACGATTTAGTCCGGCCAGAAAAAAGGTGAAAAGTAGCCCCGGGCCAAAACTAGGCCAAGTGGAAACGCAACCAAAAACGGGCCCCGCACGGCTCGGCACGCTTAAAGTGAGCTACCCGCTGCAGTGGAAATGCGCCATTAGTCTACTGGCAGTTCAGGAAAGTCTTCCTATTTAATGCTATAGAAATGGTCAGGGTCACAAACTGTATGAGAAGAGAGCTTCAGTGTCTCATTGATCATAACTGGACTTTCAAGGTTAGCACACAAGGAAAACTGCATATTTAGAAAAAAAAGACTTTAATATCAAATGCCAATAACTTTTCAACTCACCTTTTCTACCCCTCTTCCAATTGTGCATTTCATACACTTTAACATCAAATGTTCCCATGCACACGTGAACCTCAGATACAACTCTATGCTGATGTGTGCTTTCTGTTGGAGAGAAACCTTCATAGCCTAGCATTGTGTTAGCTGGATGCTAGTTCATGTCAGACTTTATCCAGTGTTCTCACTTTTCCTGGACAACAGGATAATATAATCGTCGGGGATACGCACCAGTGTGAGAAAATGAATTTGAGAGAACTGTGTAGGATCATCAGTATCACCTGTATCCACATACACAATATGTGAGTGCATGCTGAATGTGTAGGTGCAAGTTTAAACATGGCAACATGATCATAACCCAGAGTCAGATCCTTACTTTACTAAGTCCCCCCCACCCCAAAGCCACAGTAACAGAATCCTAACCCGATGATCTTGTGATGACTCATCAGAGTTCGTCGTGTCTCTTCGTTAAGTCTTCGCCATAATTGGTGACCTGGCTGCCCACAAACATGTTCCAGTTGGCTAGAATCTCCTTCTTGGTTATTTTCTGGTCCTTGTGTTTGATCACCAGATTCCATCCAACAGGTTGATTGGTTTAAGATTTGAAGAAGATGAGGAGGGGAAACATGAGGAGAGACAAACAGGAGGAAGAGAAGGAGGCAGACAGAAGCGTGTTTATAATTAAACCACAATTACCCAATTATTTGCGCCATGTTAACTCATATTCTGCGCAGACAAATTATGAATTACATTCATTACATTACACAGGTATGTAAGGTTCATTATAAAACGGACAAGTCAAATCAAGCAATCTGATCGTGATATAATGAGCGTATATCACGGGTAGAATTGTAGTTACTTTTCACAAGTCATGTATCCCTCCGCGTCTGAGAAAAGCTACAACCGTTACGTTACGTCCGTTACGAAACTAACTAACTAACAAAGCTTAAAATGGAAACATTTAAGGCCAACTTGGACCTCCGGGGTGGCCTTACTATGGAGGAGTGGATTGAGCAGTGCCTATCTCCAGAAAGCACCTAAACGACGACATGCAGAGCTACGTGAAGAGCAGGTAGACCAACTGGAAAAGTAGCACCATTCAAAAGCTTTCTGATGCGGGTCTTGAAAGCAGAGAAATGATGAGCGTTAGTGGCCACAGGTGCGAAAGCTCTCCAGAGCTACTGGAAGCCCAATCTCGGGGACCGGAGAAAGTGGAGCAACATTCTCGCCACGCCAAGCAACAGCCGAGTACAACCTCAACCTGTACAAGTCACCTCGTAAGCCATGCTACTGATGCTGGACAGGTTTTCAGTGGGTGCACAATAAACGGCAACATACACATTAATGTAAATAAATAGCTAAATAATCGATCAACGCTCTCTGTCTAATAAGGCAACGGAGGGACTATTTTATTTTGAATATCATTATTTACTAATACAAACTATTTAAATTAGAGTGTCTATTTTTCTTCCATATTGCCACACTTGGTAACCGTTTTATAAAAGCAATATACCATGGCCTGTCGTCGGGCCGAACCACGCCCCTTAACTGTGATATAATGACCATATACCACGGCCTGCCGTGAGCTATTGCTTAATTATACTGTCTGTATAGAAGAGTATATCACATACAGTATGCCATTGTATGTGCTCTGCACATTTAATCCATGTTACAGTTGGAGATGGTCCTGTTTTTAGCTCAGCCTAAGTTCAATGTTCTTTTTATTGTCAGTATAATTTGTGTAGGCTACCTAATAAACTGCTGCTAAAGGTGAATCTTATTTCATACATATAAGGAGGTAGCTGGTGTTTTATATTATTCTTTGTCAACAAATCAAATGAAAAGACCACAGCTAACTAACCTATTTATTTATATGATATATAACATATAAAACGCTCTGACACTCCTCCAGAGTCTGTGGCTGGCCGGCCTTCAGTTTCTCCTAAATGCATACACTCTATCTTCGGCTCTCAGATGTAAAGTTTGTTATTTAAAATAAGATTCAGTATCTGCTCAGCGGGTCTCAAGCTGGAAAAAATAGCACATATGTTGGGGACTATTTTCAGTAGCGGATTGACTGATATTTGGGGGCCAGTGTATGTGGGACGGAAAACAAACGACTGTGTTTGTTCATGGAAAAGAAGACCCTTGTCCATCAATAAAATAAAGAATATATCCACCATAGTTTATATACCTAAATAAACTAAATGTAGAAGATCGAAATTCCAATATTCCACATTTCTTAAACCATCTAGTCATCTGGTTGAAATGTTCCCCACCACAGAGCTCTTACATGTAATAGATGCTTTGCTAACAACTGCATCAGCACTACTGGAAATGCACATTCTCTATAAACAAAGTGATCGACTGACGCCGGTGTGTTCAGCTCTCTGCTGCTGCTCACTGCTTCAGAGCGCACCAGGTGGAGTGTGAGAGCAGCTGTACCTTGTCGGTGTCCGTCTCGTGGATCAGGTGTTTGGCCTCATTGTCTGCGTGGTCCACGTCTCCGGGCAGAACCCAGTGCGCCACCTCAGCATTATGCAGGTACCCATCCTGCAGACACACAGGCGCTTACTGAGGAGCTTCTGAAGAGCTATTACGTGTTCAAATGTCCTATTGCTGTTGGCCATTATTACGCAGGAAGGTGTGACAGGGATCGAAGATATTCCAGTCGACAGGCACTTAGTTTGAGGTTTATTGCGTTGGTTGTACACTACCAGTTTCCAGTGTTGATGGGTTATTGCTGAGTGGGTAGTTATGCTAAGAACCGTGTCCGGTAACCTACAACCCTATTTATACACACTTTTTTCAGCTAATCTCCTCCACCACGTGTTCAAATAATATTACATAATACATCTAAACAACATAAGATACACTCCCCATCCAAAAAAAAAGTCACCAACTGGATTTAACTTATCCAATCAGTAAGAGCCTTCCATTGGATAATTACAGCAGTGATCTTTCTGCAGGTCTCCCTTGAAAAAGAGATCTATGATCTCAATGGGACCAATCTGGTTAAATAAAGGTTTGAAATGAAATGAAATTCATATGTGTCAGCTGGCAACAAGTTATTTAATCCTAGCTGTGCTTAGCTTCTCGTTTCTTGAACAACTCTGTTGGAAGGCATATCCTGTGGTCCTGGGGAGGATGTTAGTCAGTTTCAGGAGGGTCAAATGATTGGCCTGCATCAAGCAAAGAAAACAACTAAGGAGATTGCTGAAACTACTCAAATGGGGTTAAGAACTGTCCAACGCATTATCAAAACCAAATCAATTATACGCAAAGCTAAAGGTGGTCCAACAAAATATTAGTGTGTTCAACTTTCTGTTGGGACGGGCAGTGTAATATGCCAACAATAAACGCAAATGGCTCCTACACCCTCAGAAGGTTAGGGCGGAGGACGTAGGAGCGAAGTGAATATGTAAATATGGTATTTATACAATAAATCTTAGAATATATAATGTTCTTATAATTAGCTCCAACAGCTGTCGGATTAAAATGCTGCTTACGTGTTCATAATTCAGTTATTACTTTCATTATAACAATTAAAGGAATCATAATGTCCAACGAGTACTTTTACTACATGCTGCTGAATGCTTTGTATCTGTTTACTTTAAGTCGCATCTTGAATGGAGGTTTTCACTTGCAAGTGTTTTACATAGTCATATATTTAGACTTTTCTTTTACTACAGTGAATATACTTCGTCTGTCTGTCTGTCTGTCTGTCTGTCTGTCTGTCTGTCTGTCTGTCTGTCTGTCTGTCTGTCTGTCTGTCTGTGTCTGTCTGTCTGTGTCTGTCTGTCTGTGTCTGTCTGTCTGTCTGTCTGTCTGTCTGTCTGTGTCTGTCTGTCTGTCTGTCTGTCTGTCTCTGTCTGTGTGTCTGTGTGTCTGTCTGTCTGTCTGTCTGTCTGTCTGTCTGTGTCTGTCTGTCTGTGTCTGTCTGTCTGTCTGTCTGTCTGTGTCTGTCTGTGTCTGTCTGTCTGTCTCTGTCTGTGTGTCTGTCTGTGTGTCTGTCTGTCTGTCTGTCTGTCTGTCTGTCTGTCTCAATTCAATTCAAAGGGGCTTTATTGGCATGAAAGTTAAATTAAACAATGTAGCCAAAGCATCACAATACAAAATAATTAACAACATTAACATACATTTCAAATGTTTACATATTATTGATGATATATATATATACAGTGATACAATTACATTTCAACACGCGTGCGTGTGTGTGTGTGTGTGTGTGTGTGTGTGTGTGTGTGTGTGTATGTGTGTGTGTGTGTGTGTGTCTCATTCACTGTCCCTCAGGTTGTGGCATGTGTATACATATTGGGCAGCAAGATGTGCCTTGTCTCCTTCTCCTAGGAGTACTCTCGGTCTTGAGAGGTCATCAACCTCCTTGAAACCTGGGATTACAGAGTTCAACTTGTTCCAGTAAACGCTCCTTACTTCGTTGAATGTTTGGCACTTCAGGAGGAAGTGCATCTCTGTCTCAGTCTCACCTGTCGTACAGTGACCACATATTCTGTTCTCTTTTGGTTGCCAGGATCTTTTGAGTCTTCCTGTTTCGATTGCCAGTTTGTGGTCACTGAGCCTGTACTTGGTTAGGATCTGTCTCTGCTTTCTATCTCTGACAGTATAAAGATATTCTGCCAGCTCATACTCTCTGTTTAGAGCCAGGTAACATTCTAATCTACTTTGTCTTTTAGTTTCTTCTTCCCAATGTTGTAAATAGTTGTCTTTGCATTGTGTTATAATGTGTTTGACTGTGATTGGTGTTTGGAGAGCAGTGTTGCTGAGAGACTGGTCAGAGTGGCTCTGAGAGGGGGCAGCTAGCCTCAGCACCAGCTGATAGGGGACTCTTCTCTGGGGTTAGCTCTTGGCTTTGGAGGGCTTTGGAGTGGAGGGTGTCTCGGGGGCTGGATCTAAGGTGGTTAAAGAATGTTAGTGCTCTCTTTTGAGTGTTAATGATCAGTAGTATCTGCCTAATTCTGCTCTACATGCATTTGTTGGTGTTTTTCTCTGAACACGTCAAATGTATCTGCAGAATTCTGCATGTAAAGACTCTGTTGGATATTTGTCCCAGCGTGTATAGCTCTGGTGACTGAGTGGACCCCATACTTCACTACCGTACAGCGCAATGGGCTGGATCACACTATCAAAGATTTTGAGCCAGATTTTAATTGGAATTTGGACATTATAAAATGTTCTCTTAATTGCATTTAGAGCTCTTCTGGCTTTTTCTTTGAGTGCATTCACTGCCATGTTGAAACTTCCCGATGCTGTTATGGTTAAACCGAGGTAGGTATAACTCATACTATGTTCGATGATATGATTGTTTATGGTAAACTGGTATTTGTTCTCCTGACATCTGGGGCGTTTTTGGAAAACCATGACATTAGTTTTCTTCATATTGACTGCCAGGGCCCAGTTCTTACAGTACTGGTCTACTATGTCCAGCTGTTTTTGTAGTTGTTGTAGTCCTTGTTCAGTAGGAGACAGTAGAACAAGGTCATCAGCATAAAGCAGACACTTCACCTCTCTATCTAGGAGGGAGAGGCCAGGAGCAGCACAGTGATCCAACTGAACAGCAAGTTCATTTATATATATATTAAATAAAGTGGGACTTAAATTGCAACCCTGACGAACGCCTCTTCTCTGGGTGAAGAATTCAGTTTGTTTATCTCCAATTTTAACAGCACACTTATTCCCTAAATACATTGATTTAACCAGATCGTACATTTTGCCCCCTATACCACAATGTAGAAGTCTATAATAGAGCCCTTCGTGCCAAATAGAGTCGAAAGCTTTTTTGAAATCAATGAAACAAGTGTATATCTTACCATGTTGTGTTTGGTGTACATGTTTGTTAACTAAAGTGTGAAGGGTATACACATGGTCGGTGGTGCAGTGTTTTGGAAGGAAGCCAATTTGATTTTTACTCGAGATGGATTGTTGGTTAAGGAAATCTTGTATACTTTTATTTAGAATGCTACAGAATAATGTCCCCAGACAACTGCTGACACAGATGCCACGGTAGTTCTTAGGGTCTGATTGTCTCCACTCTTATGAATGGGGGAAATGAGCCCTTTGCACCAGATGAAAACATCCTGACTGCAATACCATACTGAACAGCTTTAACACTGTACCCTGCATCTCTGGGGTGCTGCATCTGAGCATTTCCTTTTGAACGTTGTCTGGGCCACAAGCTTTCCTTGGCCGGAGAGATTGTGTCTGTGTGGTCAGCTCTTCCCAAGTCATTGGGAAATCAAGGGGCTTTTGGTTGTCTTTAATAGTTTCTTCTAATGTTTGGAGTTTCTCTTTTGTAATACATTGATCTGAATTCATTAGATTTATTGGTATGTCTTTGTACAAACTTTCAAAATGTTCTCTCCAGATGTCACCGTTTTGGATGGGTAATGCTTGTGGTTGTTTTGTGTTGAAGTTGTTCCACAGATCCCAGAATTGATTTTGATCAATGGCTTTCTCAATATCCTCAAGTTTCATGTGGGTATCATTTTGTTTTTTGTTCCTTATTGTACATTTATATTTGTTTAAAACGTCATTGTATCTAATGCGTAAGGCTGGGTTGTTTGGTTGCCGATGGTTTTCATTTGCTATTTTTCTCAGGTATTTTCTGATGGTCTTGCATTCCTGGTCAAACCATTTGTCAGCGTTTTGCCTTTTAACAGGCTTCTGCTTTTGTTTGATAAGGTCAGCTTTAATAGCTGCCTTGTGAAATATCATATTGATATAATCAATGGCCATGTTTACACCATCTTTGGTAGGAACATATTGATTTTGGTCAAATAGTGACATGTCATTCATCAGATCAGGTGAGTTCAAGGCCATGGTGAATTTGTCTCCACTGTCTGGGGCCCATCTGTAAGTAGGATGTAATGTATGCAGCTTACTGGGTTCCCTTGTTGTGTCACTCATTGGACCTGAGAGTTTAAAGAACACATTGATTTGGTTGTGGTCTGAAAAGGGGGATTGCTGACTGACAGTGTATGCACTGATAGTGGAGGGGTCCATGTCAGTGATTGCATAGTCTACTACACTAGACCCTAGAGCTGAGGAGTAAGTGAATCTCCCTAAAGAGTCCCCTCTGAACCTCCCGTTCACTATGTACAGGCCTAAGGCCCGACAGAGATGCACTATCTCTTTGCCATTCTGATTGATTTCAGAGTCGAGGCTGTTCCGATGGCTGACGGTTAGTGTGGTAAACAGGGGGGGTTCACCAAATACATGGTGGCTGCCCTGTGGGTCTATGACATCAGGTTCAATTCCTGTTCGTCCGTTCAGATCTCCAGTTAGAAGCACATTTCCCTGGGCCTGAAAATAGGCGATTTTTGAATGGAGAGTGTCTGTCTGTCTGTCTGTCTGTCTGTCTGTCTGTCTGTCTGTCTGTCTGTCTGTCTGTCTGTCTGTCTGTCTGTCTGTCTGTCTGTCTCTCTATGTCTGTCTCTCTATGTCTGTCTCTCTATGTCTGTCTGTCTGTCTGTCTGTCTGTCTGTCTGTCTGTCTGTCTCTCTCTCTCTCTCTCTGTCTGTCTCTCTCTCTCCGTCCGTCCGTGTGTGTGTGTGTGTCCGTGTGTGTGTGTGTGTGTGTGTGTGTTACCTTGTTGGCGTCTCTGAACTCATGGAAGTGTTTCCTCTCGGTCTGCACCCAGTCGGGCTCCCTCTCCCCGCTCTCTAGAGAGAACATGTCCCCTGTGGAGCAGCACACACACATTCAGCACAGGTGGCTGATGGGAAAGGAGGGAACCATACCGACAGTGGTGCAATTTAACTAAGTGATTACTCAAGTACTGTACTTCAGTAAAAAAATGAAATACTTGTACTTAACTTCAGTATTTCACATTATGCTTCTTTATACTTTTACTCCACTACATCTTTATTTAGTTACTTTGCAGATTTAGGTTATTATTACAATTTTTTTTAAATCGACACACATGATTATATGCATAATATTATTATGGGTTAAGCTATCCAGTAGTGTATAAAGTAATAAAATAATAACCCCTATATTTACGAAGTAATGAACACATTAACGCACCCATCATTTTATAAAATGATAGAAATATAGCTGGTGCTTAAAAAAGCCATTTTGCTTAACGAGGACTTTTACTTTTGGTACTTAAAGTATTTTTTAATGCTAATACTTTTTAACTTTGACTTAAGGACAATTTGAATGCCATATGTAACTGAGTATTTGTACACAGTAGTGTTGCTACTTTTACTTCAGTAAAACAATCGGAGTAGTTCTTCCGCCTCTGCTTACCAATGTATTCGTTTATGTCGATCTTTCCATCTCCGTTCTTATCAATGTCCTCCACTGTTTCCTGAAAGAGAACACGAGTTAGTCTTATAGTGCAATACATGAAATGTTTTTTTTGTTCAGGGTTTTGATATCCTGTGGACCTTTTTATTTTTAGACTGCCAGTAGAGAAAATGCGGGAAATAACTGTGTCAAATAAATGACACTAAATCATTAAGAAATGTTATCCTAACTGATTTACACATTTTTCAGCATTATATATTTGTCATGGACCAAATATTGGCATCAGGCGTTAAAATAATTGTCTATATTGTCTGGCCACAAGTAATATGCACTGTCATCACATGTTGGATGCTGATCCGTTGCCATGGTGCAACCTTCAGAGATCTGCAGGTGAGGACCAGTACCTGCACCACCAAGTCTTTCATGTAGTCGAACTCCTCCGGGTGCAGGAAGGCAGTGAACTCCTCCCGGGTGGCGATACCGTCCCCGTCTCGATCAGCCGTCTTGAAGCGTCTTTCGTCCCGCGTCAGCATGGACCTATAGGTGGCCTTGTCCTCCACGTCATCAAACTCCTCATCTGAAAACATGCGTGAGATGTTTTGTGAGGCACTGTGAAGCATTTCAAAATCACATCTGTGAAGAAGTCTTTATTACAACTGTCCTTGAAACTTCATTGCAACTGAGCAAACTCCCTCTGCTGTTATATACACTTTACATACGTATATATTTTTGACCTTGGGATTGGAGAATGACTGAATAATCTCACATCACACATGTTTCACTTCTAATAGCTGGCAAAGAGGCAGTGAAAGTGGAAAGCTTCACAAATCTCAGTAAGGGGACCTTTGACTTGAACGGAACACTATTAGGGCCCAGTTTTTGATGTTCTGCCAGTCATAGATGATTTGGTCTAATATGTTCTATCCAGTGTGAATGTGTGTGTGTGTGTGTGTGTGTGTGTGTGTGTGTGTGTGTGTGTGTTAGGGCTGCACGATTTTGGGAAAAAAATCTAAATGCGATTTTTCTGACAAATATTGCGATTGCGATTTGCGATATTTATTTTTAAGCGACCCAACGGAAGTTTATTGTAAAATGCGGCCATAACTCCGGCTAGGAAGGTCGTATCAACGTACTCCCGTCTCTAGCACCCCCGCAGCCCGAGCTACGAGTGAAAGAACTAAACTTACATGAAACATTACTAACCTGATTCAGATGGTTTGTTTCACCAAACTATCTAGGAAAGCTCCGTTGGAAGCCATTTGGAAAGGGCAGGCACTTTCAAAAATACTTGGCAGGTGATTGGATCAATCTGTCTATCACCTTCTATCATGGGCCACTTCTGATTGGTTAACAATGACTGGTACATGTGGAGCACAGCACTTGTGATTAGTGTGGATGACTGACACACAAGCACAATCGCGATTTCGATTTAAAATCGATTAATCGTTCAGCCCTTGTGTGTGTGTGTGTGTGTGTGTGTGTGTGTGTGTGTGTGTGTGTGTGTGTGTGTGTGTGTGTGTGTGTGTGTGTGTGTGTGTGTGTGTGTGTGTGTGTGTACTGCAATGTGCCCAGGTGTACCCGGCCACCCTCAGTGTGATGCAGGGCAAGAGAAGTGGCTCACAGAAGGGAAAGATGGATATATTGTACATTTAAGGTCAGTTTGTTATTTTTCAGCTATGACTAGTGTTGCTCATCACTCTAGATATTCTGCATATAAGAACACAAGTTGTGAAGAGCTGATGCGTGTTTAATGTGTTCGCATTAAGAAAGTGGACTAATAGAAGATGCGTGTGTTTCCTTAGATAGTTGTAAATGCAGACAGTTAGACAAGTTAGAATGAAATTGTCTTTGAGAATTACCCAGGTAGAAGCCGTAGGTGGTGTTCTTGTACTCCTCCCAGCCTATCTTTCCGTCTTGATTCTTGTCGTAGTCCTTCCAGTGTTTGTTCACGTTCTCCTCGATGTACCTCCTCTGCCGGTGTTTGATCCAGTGGTGCAGCTCAGCGTGGCTGATGTAGCCGTCCTTATCAGTGTCGATCCGGACCACAATCATCCTGTGGAGAGAGTTATGGATAATGTTTACTAAAATATTCTGACTCCATGGGAAATAGAACCCACAACTCTGACATTCTCAGCCCCCCTAATTTGTGCATTAGAGAAGACCCCCCTGAAGCCAGAAGCAGCCGGTTAGAAAGATCTGCTGAAGGTTGGGGAACCTACGCCAGCTTGTCTTTGCTCTCCTCAGGCGTCAGCTGGTCGAAGGTCTTGGCCTCCTCCTTTCCCAGGAAGGCCTCGTGATCGTACTGGAAGCCATAAGAATCATCGTGGGCGCGGTCGCTCAGGTCCGCCTGGTGATGGACGCGCTTCTCCTGAGTGGGGACGGAGAGGGCCGCGGCCGCCAGCAGGCAGATGGAGGCCAGGGACCTCAGCAGCTTCATTCTACTTCTCGTTGGAGAAGACAGAAAAGTCATTTGAAAAACACAGTACACTATTAAAAAAGGTAAAAACGCAATACTTAAAGCATGAAACATTTTGACATAGTACAAATATTGTGTATTGGAACTTCTGTGTGGTACAGGATGAAAAATACATTCAGAAGTCCTTCAACTGATTTGTGTTCAACAGAAAGAAAATCCTGGATCGACAGAACCAGGTCAGATCAACTTAGAGATAACTGTCTAAGGATGGTGTCATCGGAGATAAAACATATATACATTCTACAAACATTTACACTTTATAACGTTCAAATTGATAACAATCCATAATACGACAAAATAAAATAGTACTTAATTGATCAGAATGTAGTGTAATTTCCTCTGGCCCTTCATGAACCCCATCATTAAACACACACTAACAGATGTGCTTACTCTCCATGCTGAGTTGATCATCAACTCAGCTCTATGCATTGTTACATTGTATGACAGCAAAAACCATGTTAGCCTTGTTTTTCAAATGTTCCCTTTTAGAGGAAAGAAACAAATGTTCTCACCAGTTTCTCGAGTGCTTCTCGCAAAATCTCCTTAGCAGTGTGTGAACAGCAGATCAGTCCGCGTTGGCACTCTGTACCTTTAAATAACAACGTCATGAAGGCGGGGCTTGTTGTTCAGATAACCAATGAGTAACGCCTTAAAGGGGGCTCTAACCAATACAAAGTAGGACACGGTAGTGAAATACTTTAGGATAAGTTCTTATTGGCTGTTAATCGCCACGTTGTCACACAACAGCAGACCACTTCGGCTCGACTTTGCAATAGAGAGGCGAAAAACTGAGAGGAGTAATCTCAGGAGTCATTGGACATGTCGATGGAAGATGTTAAAAGTGAATTAAAAGGAGGCAAAGTAGTGGAAGTCACAAGGCTTAAAAGCAAACCGGATGGCACACTCAAAGAAACATTATCAGTTCTCATTCAGTTTGAGAGAACCTTACCTAAGGTAATACAAATGGGATATTTGAACTTCATGGTTAGGGAGTACATCCCCAAACCTCTCAGGCGCTACGCATGTCATGAATAGGGCACACAGCGCAGCAGTGTAAAGGACCGCTAAGGTGTGCGAGATGCGGAGGACAACATGAGTATGGGAAATGTGAAAAGGATGCAAAGGTTAAAGGTTGTAACTGCGGAGGAGATCACAGTGCTGCGTTTGGAGGATGTGAAGTGCAGAGAGAGGCCAGAGAGGTGCAGAGGGTTAAGATTACAAACCAAGTTTCATACGCAGAAGCAATAAAGAAAGTAAGGGTAACAGTAACAATCAATAAGACCCCTAGTGGAATGGAGCAGAGCATTACAATACAAAATGGCAGGAACACACCTAAAAGTAATCTTCAAATCCAACCCCACAGCGCCACCAAGAGTAAAGAGGATGATGGTGTTCTAAGGACATAGCGTGTTGGTCTATGTTTGATAACCGAGAAGTAGCCGAAATACACCCTGCGAGCTGGTTCGAATCCCGCTCAATCCCTTGTATGTCAGAACATGCATAAATGTAAAGGTGGAGCTTATTTATTATTTTTACCACACTTTTCAGTAGGTTGTGTATAAAATCAATGCCTCATTTAAGTTCTTCTCCATAATCATTCGTGATTCATTGTCTGTATATGTTTGTACTTTGTAACATAATCTAAATCTTCAAAGTAACTCATGTTATCAAATCAATGAAGTTAAGAGTCAAATCTTTGCCTCTGAAATGTAGTGAAGTATTAAGGAGCATGCAAGTCAGTACATCATTGTACAGTACTTCTATAGATGTACTTCATATAGAATAGTACTTAGAATATAAGTAATATGACAAATATGTGAGGATTATTGTTATGTTGTGCATTTATTATTATAATTACAACTTTTAATAAATGTATTAAAACTTAAGAACAAACTTAGTATTAAGTAAATATAACAATAATGAAAGTGAAATATGATGATGAAATATTCAAAACAGAAACATCCATACTTGTTTTATATGTATTTATATATTTAAAACAACAGTAATAATAACAACAACAATTCTTACAATATGTATAGTAAAGTGTAAAATAAATACTAATAACAAGACCAACAGTGCAAAATATATTAAAGTGAAAAATATATTAAAGTGAAAAAGTTGCAAAAATAAACAACAAATATTTAAAAGAAGTTAAAAACACAGAAACATCCAAAACTGTTTTATACGTTTATATAACATTGTAATACCAATATAAACAATAATAATAATAATACAAGTGTACCATATATAACATAACTAACTAAACAGTGCCATCTAATGTAAAGAAATAAAGTGTCAAATAAATAACAAAATGACCCACCTGCTCACAACATGTGGTCCTTTAGGTGCATCCCCTCTCTTTCCCCCATGCCCTCTTTGCTCACCACACAGCCCTCCAGTCCTCATAGGACTGGGTCTCTGATTCTTGACAGTACCAATTGCCAAAGTACTGTAACTGGGCTGGTGGCTTCCTGTCTTTGTTGCACTTTTTGCAAATGATGGCGTCTGTCTTTTTGACATACTTTCTTTTGCCTGATCCACATTGCTCCCTCTCCTCTTGTCTTTCCCTGTTCTGCTGTGTGGTGTACGGCACGTTACTCTGACCAGATGTTAGCGCCTGAGCAGCTGATGGCAATGGCATGTTGAGAAGCATCATCTGAGAGCTTCCAGGCACAACCTGTGAGGGTCCAGGCACTTGAGGAAGCTGCACAGATGGTACCATCATGTATGGTGTTGAGAAGGTGGTGGGGGGACCTGTGAGATGGCCACTGGTTGGGATCTGTTCTGGAGCTTTGCCTCACCAGCAGTGTTTGGTGGCAGAACAAAGGTGTGAGGCTCAGCCAGACTGCCAGGAAACAGAGATGTCCCTTTCTGCTTTGCCACAAGAAGCTGCTCAGGTCCTGCCATGGGAGCGTCAGGAGCGGGGATACCCTGCTTCAGGACCTGCTGTTCCTGAGACCTGCAGCGCCTGCTGAACCTGCGGAAACATGAAACAATCAATATTAATGAACAAAAGGGAATATTTGTAATTGAAAAGAGTTGGGATTATTTTGAACAATAAATCATTTTACTGGGTAAGTATTACAAAGTAAGTATACATGTTTTGCAGTATATGTAGTATGCTTATTTACTCGCCATTGTGTGACAGTTGCAACATTCACTTCTGGAAGCTGGTCTCAGTCATCACAGATGTGCTTATAAGCACGTATCACCATTGTGAACCGTGAGACCCTCTTTCCCTCGCAGCGCACAGTGTTTTTGTAGAGGTCACAGAGCCTTGTGAAGATGGCCTCCACCACTCTGTTGCAGTCAGGCCACTGTGCAGGACTGTGAGCCCCAATGAAGCACCTGTAAATTCAACAGAATACTTATTATTATGAATTACTAAAGATTGAGATGTATTTGTACTTTTCTGTAATTGTACTTCCCTAAAGTTATGGGGGAAACCCAGAAAGTGTTGTTCTGCTTTATTCCATCTGACACAAGAAAGGAAAGGTGGTGTTCAAGTTAATAAAGATCCTTTAATAAACTTGACTACACTTATTAAGGTGAAGACAGTATTTCAGACAGTTTCAGTCATTTTAAAATGTTGTACTTAATGTAACAAACCTTTTAGTGCTCTCCACACCTGGAGCCACAATCGTTTTTGTTGCCCTGAATCGCCCCTGCTTCAGTGTGTTTTTGTGAAGGGGTGGATAGCTGGTCTTCCTCTTGTCGAAATCCCCCAGTGTCTGCCACAGAGTGATTATTTTGGTGCACTCGTCTCCACTTAAGGCCAGTAGGTGTTCTCGGAGACCAAACAAAAACTCTGCCAGCTCCTGGACGGCTCCATACCCCTCGATATTGTCAGGGCCAACACAATCCTAAAATGAAAGATAATTCAAACATATTTGATAGCAACAACAAATGCTATTAATTGTAGCTGACATAACCCAGATTGTGTTACAAGCATGTAAATACACATAAGAAAGGTAAATTGGTCCTTACATCGACTGAGGTGGATTGTTGTGAGGACAGGGTGCTGGTGGAGGATGGAGGAGGGACCACAGACAGTGAGGACAGGGTGCTGGTGGAGGATGGAGGAGGGACCACAGACAGTGAGGACAGGGTGCTGGTGGATGATGGAGGAGGGACCACAGACAGTGAGGACAGGGTGCTGGTGGAGGATGGAGGAGGGACCACAGACAGTGAGGACAGGGTGCTGGTGGAGGAGGGACCACAGACAGTGAAGACAGCGTGCTGGAGGAGGAGGGACCACAGACAGTGAGGACAGGGTAATGGAGGAGGATGGAGGAGGGACCACAGACAGTGAGGACAGGGTGCTGGAGGAGGATGGAGGAGGGACCACAGACAGTGAGGACAGGGTGCTGGTGGAGGATGGAGGAGGGACCACAGACAGTGAGGACAGGGTGCTGGTGGAGGATGGAGGAGGGACCACAGACAGTGAGGACAGGGTGCTGGTGGAGGAGGGACCACAGACAGTGAAGACAGGGTGCTGGAGGAGAATGGAGGAGGGACCACAGACAGTGAGGACAGGGTGCTGGTGGAGGATGGAGGAGGGACCACAGAACGCGAGGACAGGGTGCTGGTGGATGGAGACGGAGATACAGAGGACGGTGCTTTTGATGAGGCAGCAGGTAACCTTTGAAGGTGGAAGGTGCGGACAGTGAAGTCCTGAAACTCCTCAGGTTCAGCATGACCTTCATGAACCTCTATTGCCACCTCGCTGCTCTCTGACTCTTGTATGGCCAGCTTGTAGTCCTGAAGAACTTGACCAATTTGCTGGTAAAGGTACTCCACTCCCATCAGGTCCTCTTTCAAATCAAATAAAAATACAATTAGATAATACACCATCATATATATAATATCATTTTAAATATAAATGACTTAATCTAATTACTTGTGGTATTTAGATGATGTTATTTGCATATCAATCAGAAAACATAATGCAAGTGATAAAATGGTAGGCTATTAGTATACTACAAGCAAATACAATATATATCTACCAGTGTATTTTCGTGGCCCAACATAAGGGATGATCTTCTTGCCTAGAACCTCCTCTGCCAGAGTATTCACAGCATGGCGAAGAAGATGATTGTAGCAGTGTGGATGCTGCTGCTCATCCCTGGTTGCTGCCACAGCCCGGTCCTCATTCCAGCGTGCCAGTCCATCCAAAAGATAGGCTTGGAAAAAGGTGTCACTTGCCAGAGTACCTGTAAAGTACATTTTGAAATGTATCATGTTTTTATTTCAGATCATTTCAACATTTGTATAGATAAAAACACAGCTGTTATTTATTCCAATCCAATGGTGATGAATCTAACCATAGGATGAAAAGAGGGAAACACATATTTACCTGGGATGAACCGGTTCAGGTGCAGGTGAAATGACTCCAGTGAAGTAGAGCCTCTGGCACAGCGGTATGTTGGCAGGCGGTGCCCTCCCTTCACACTGGAGCCAGTTTGTGCGTAGAGCTGCACACCTGGAGGATCCTGGATGCAGGCCACATGCTTCCACTGGGACTTGATGATTTCACTCATCCGGGCCGAGTTGATGAGTGGCACTCCCAGAGAGTCCCGAGCAGCATCTCCATCAAAGGCCTGGATGAGCCTATGAATCTGAGCCTGGGTCTCCTCTGTGCCGCGG